ATAGTAGGGTTTCCTTTTAAGTGTGGCTCCTATTAGATGGCTACTAAGTCCCTTCTAACTCCAAAGTTCTGTGATTCTATGATTTCATAAATACCTTTACATAGCTGTAGGGAACTCTTGAGGACTTATCAGTGGGGAATAGCTTGAGAGAGCTTTCTTCTCTTCAAGGAGACCCTCAGATTGTATTTCTCAGTGATAATAGGTGGAGAACCCTGCCTCCTTTCCTTTTGCCTTCCTTTCCTGAGCATTTTAGTCATGTTATATCCCTCTGTCTCTCTTCTTTTCACTTCCTCCCAGGGGTTCTAAGAAGCTTGAAGTCACTAGCTGCCTAATTAATGTGACAAGTAACATTTACCTTGTCACTCTGCAGTTGCCTTCAGTTCCTTTCTCTGGAAGAGACTTTAAAGGAAAAGAAAAAGAGGGAAAAAAGCCTTCCCCTCTATGAGCTCATAAAAAAAAAAACCAGAATAAAAGCCAAAAAAAGGAAATTTTACCATGTGACAGTTGGCACGAACCACCCAGGGTCTATTGGTGCCAATGAGAGAGGGGTTCCCAGACAGCAGGCAGATGCCTGGCTTAACTGCTAGGCAGGTGGCACAGGACAGAAGGAGCAGGGAAGATGATTAACTGAGGACCAACCCCACAGGGAGGTCCCTCAGCCATAGACAAGAAGGGTTTCTAGGGGCTCCCGCCCACAGATCTGGGTAGGAAGCTGGTTGAAACAGTCCTCACAGGAGACTGCCAGTTCCTTTACCAGGAAGTTGACAGTGGAGCCAATTTTTCTCCCATTTGATGGGAAGCAAACCTGGCCAAGTCAGGCAGTGGCTACAGTGGTTTCCCTACCTTGAGCAGGGTGGCTTGTTTCTTCCTTAGATGGACAAAGGGCAGGGTGACAGCACTTGAAGGTCACAGATCTCTTTCAAGAAAAGCTTCTCAAATATGGACAAGGTTTTACTCCAAGATTAAGTTCCCTAAGAACCCCATGAAGGTTAGGTAAGCTTCACTGTGAAGCCATTCTCTGGATCATTCTCTTGTTCTCTTCACAGACAGCAAATAACATCAGAGAGGCAGACAGGAAGAAATGAGTCTTGTTGAAGCTCGTCAGTGCTTACTGATAAGGGCTGACTACCTCTGAAGATAAATGGGCACTGACTCAGTGACCACAAAAGGTTATATTGACATGCTTCCATGTTTTCAGGCTTACAGAAGAGAAGGAGAAGTAGTCATGCCTGTCCCTTCTCAGACACAGTGGTTTGGCATCTTAGAAATTTCCATAGATGAAGTTATGGACATTCATTAATTTATCTTCTCATATTTTCCCTCATGCTTAGACAAAATGGGTGGGGCGGGGGAACAAATTGGAGTTCCACCTTTGTCACTATGGGACTTAGTTGGCCTAAGTATGATTCAGTTGAAGTGGCTTCATTAATATTGCTGCATAAACAGATAGATTCTTATACCTGCAATAATGTGGAGCTGCTTTCAGTTGAAGCTCATTCAGAAGATCCAGAGGGGAGCAGGGTTAGTCTCAAACTAACTAGGGCTTAAATCAGGGGTTCTTAACCTCGGAGCCATGAACTTGCTATTACTATTATTATTATTTTGAGAATTCCATGTCAATATAATTTGTTTCCTTTGTAATCCTATATATTTAATTTTATGTATGTAAAAATATGATTCTCCCAAAGAGATCAAACAAATGGGAAAAGAACCCACATGTACAAAAATATATATAGCAGCTCTTTTTGTGGTGGCAAAGAATTGGAAATTGAGAGGATGTCCATCAATTGGGGAATGGCTGAGCAACTTATGGTATATGAATGTAATGGAATACTATTGTGCTATAAGAAATGATGAACAGGCTGACTTCAGAAAAACCTGGGAAGACTTATATGGTCTGATGCTAAGTGAAGTGAGCAGAACCAAGAAGACTTTGTACACAATATCAGCCACGTTATTCAATGACTAAGAATGTTAAACTGAACCCTTCTCAGCATTATGAGGATCTAAGACATCTCCAGAGGCCTTGGGATGGAAAATGCTGTCCACATCCAAAGAAAGAACGATGGAAGTCGAATCGCTGTCACTTACTTTTACCTTCTGTTGAGTTTTGTTTCATCTTTCTGATGGTTCCTCCTATTGGTTTTAATTTTTACTTACAACTTCACTAATGTGAAAATATGTTTAATGGGTATGTAAAAAAAAAAATAAAAATAAATAAAAATATGATTCTAAGAAGGGGGTCTATAGACTTCACGAGCTTAGCAAAGAGTCAATGACACAAAATAGGTTTAAGACCTCAGTTCAGGGGCAGCTAGAATTGCACAGTGGATAGATCACTGGCCCTGGATTCAGGAGGACCTGAGTTCTAATCCAGCCTCAGACACATAACACCCACTAGTTGTATAACTCTGGGCAAGTCAATTAACCCCCAATTGCCTCATATAAAAAAAAAAAGCCCAGTTCACAAGAATGCCAGCAACATCACTGTGCTGAAGGAGTCATCTTTTGGAGGAATTCAAACCTCTTCATACACCCAATTTCATAGGTTCATCCTTCATATGCATTTTCTTGTTTTATTCTTTGGGTTCTGACCCTGCCATATTGCCATCTTGCATGTCCAGATCTTGAACACATCCTTTCCCTGTCCTCTGCCTAGTTATCACCTCAACAGAGCTAACTCTTTTGTCTTAAATGACCTACTGCTTACTTCTGGTCCCTCACTACTAGAACTGCTCCTGCTACAGACTATGATGTCCTCCCTTCTCTGAACCAGTTCACAGACCCCCCTCAGCTACAGACCCTGACCAGACCTGCCCCTGACCCCACAGGGAGTTATAAGCTGATAAGCTAATACAGAGAAGTGAGTCTAACATCTCCTGAATGAGGTCTGGGCTCAGCCAGGGGTGGAGCATGGGGGAGCTCTATAAACTTCCTAATGAATTTAATATAGTAGGGTGACCATTGGGTACAGAATTAGAAGAAATGGGTTTTCAATGTTAGTTTTGACCTTTGACCAAGCTATTAACCTCTCTGGTCCTTGGTTTCTTCATCTGTGATATGATGGGGTTGGACTAGATGATCTCCAAAAGTTCTTTTCTTTTGATCTTACAATCCTATAAATGAATGAATGAATGAGCTTTTCTCCTCTTCTGATAAAGATGGGGTCCAATCATTCTCTTTTTCCTACTTCCTAAAATCATTCCAAATTCTAATTCCACTCAATATTCTAACCTGTCTGAAACAAGAATGAGTATCTGTCTCCTGGCTATTCTCAATCCAGCAGGACTAGGATGGAAGTAATCACTGAGTGCCTTGGGACTCTGGGGTGAAAGGGCCTCCAGAATTCCTGAGATCCGTCCCTCTATCCTGCATCATAAGCCATATCATAGACAGATGTAGCAGAGAAAGTGTTCCTGCTAGATAATGGGAGGAGTGATTCACCATTTCCTCTTTCTTCCTGCTACCCAATCACAAACCCAAGTCAGTGCAATTCAGTTCAAACATTTATTAAGGCATTTTTATGCTTGGCCTTTCCCCATCCTAGTTCATTCTTCCAGAATGTTATATACTGTCAAGGATAGAAGGAGAAAGACCACAGGAAACCTCCTCTTTCCCTATTCTGTGGAGGAGGAGTTTAGGGAAGATTACACAGATGTGAAAAGGGCCAAGTCTGGCTCCTTGCCACAAGGCAGAAAACAATTTTGCATGAAAATTGAAAGGGCTCTTAGAGTTTTTAATTGTTAATTTGACAAAATTATGATGAGAATGGCAGCCAGAGCAGACCCAAGAAAACATGGTGCTTCACTACATCACCACACACACACACACATACACATACACACACCCACAGACAAATACCATGCTTCCATGGGATAAGATCTTGTGATTAATGAAAAATCTCCTAAGTTGAATGACAGCTCACTTTCCTTTCCCTCAACTTATAGAGACTGCCTCCTTTGTATGCTGTTCTCAAGAAGGTATCCATATCTTCTTCCGAAAGTGGAAATGTTCAGCATTGCTTCAGACGTCTTGAAGTATAGTGCAGCTCACCTCTGGTCTGTTCTATCATAGGACTAACAGAGGTTGACAAGACCTTTGAGATCTGGGCTGAAACCACAAAACTCACTGTTCAAAGGACTTCTGATTATTTCTTTCCAGAAAGGAGCATTGAGAATGTTCAATTGGGAGAGGCAATTTGGGGGAGGGGGAAGGAGAGAAAAGGGTCTATATGTATAGGATATAGGTATATAAAAATAGATAAAAAGTGATTTGTAGAGATCATTAGACATTGGAGGGGGTAAAGAAAGACCAGATATAGAAGGTGACATATGAGTTGTCAAACAGATGCCTAACCACGCCTCACACATCATGGACTTGTGAAGTTCATTTTTGTAAACCAAGTCTAAGACTTTATATTTAGTCCTTTTGAAATTCATCTTATTGGATTCAGCCCAATATTTTAGCCCATCAACATATTTTTCAATCTTGACTCTGTCATCCAGTTGCTGACTATCTGTCACAGGTTTATCTAATCCATAAACTTGATAAGTATACCATCAATGTATGTATGTACATGCTGTTGTTTCGCCCATTAGAATGTAAGCTCACTGATTTTTTAAAACCAGGTTTTATTTTCTCTCCTTCCCACTCTCCCCCTCCTCCACCATTGAACAATTAAAAGAGAAAAAGAAAACTTGCATATCATATATGCATACTTAAACAAAACAAATTCCCACGTCAACATGTTCCAAAACATACGGCTCATTCTGCATTTTAAGTCCATTACCTCTCTGGAAAGGAGTGGGTAGTATGTTTCATCTCTGGTTCTCTGGAATCTTGGTATGTCACTGCATCAATTAGAGTTCTAAAGTCTTTCAAAGTGCTGTTCTGTACATCATTGTCATTGTACAAATTGTTCTAGTTTTGCTCATTTCACTCTGCATCAGTTCATAGAGGTCTTCCCATTTTCCCTTGAAATTATCCATTTCATTATTTCACCAGTCATAATAACATTCTATTAAAATGTAAATTTGTAGTGATTAGTGATTGTTTCACCCCCCTGAGCCTACTGTGGTGCTGGGCACGTGATAGATAATAAATACTTGTTGATCAGTTGATTAACCTATGTTTTTGTTTACATCATTGACAAACATGTTACACGGCACAGAACCAAGCACAGAACCTGAGGCACTCCCTGGATACTTCCAAGTTGATGTAGAGCTATTAATGACTTTTTTTTTAGGCCATCTATTTAACCAGTTCCAAATCTAGCTAATTGTATTCTCATCTAGCCAATACCTAAGTGGCAGAGCATTTTGTCTGGAGTCAGTAAGACCTCAGATCAAATCCAGCCTCAGATATTTACCAACTGTGACCCTAGGAAAGCCACTTAACCTGTCAGCCTCAGTTTTCTCAACTATAAAATGGGGATAATAAGAGTACCTATGTCCCAAGATATTTATGAAGATCAAATAAGATAATTTTGTAAAGTGTTTAGCATAGTAACATATAGTTGGTTCTTAATAAATGCTTTTTTCTCCCCTCTCCATCTTTTCTACAAGAACGGCATGATCTACTCCTTTGCTACAATCTAAGTAAATATTCTCTACATCTATAAGCAATATCTGCAGCTGTGTCTTCCTCTGATCTACTAGTTTTAGTAACTTTGTCAAAAAAGGGAAAAAAAGGTTAGTTCTCATAAACAACTTATTTTTAATGAAGCTACATTGGCTCCCTTTGACCACTGCTTCCTTTTCCATATGTTCATTAGTCATTTATTAAATACGCATTATAGAATTTTGCCAGAAATATCAGGCTAATTGGCCTGTAGTTTGTAGATTCCATTCTCTTTCCCTTTTTTGAAAATGGGGACATTTGCCTTTCTCCAGTCCTATGGTATCTTTGCTATTCAACATAGCCTTTCGAATGCCACTAAGTATCACAGCAATTACATCTGCTGTTTCTTTCACTGCCTGAGAATGCTTTTCATCTGGGCCTAGTTACTTGAATTCATCAAAGGCATCTCATTGTTACTTAGTGATTTCAGTCATGTCTAATCCTTCATGACCCCATATGGGTTTTTCTTGGCAAAGATACTAGAATGGTTTACCATTTCCTTCTCCAGTTTGTTTTACAGATAAGGAACTGAGGCAAACAAAGTTAAGTGACTTGAACAGGGTCACACAGCTAGTAAGTGTCTGAGGCAAGATCTGAACTCTGGAAGAGGAGTCTTCCTGAGTCCAGACCCTGGCACTCTATCCGCTACATCACCTAGGTGCTTCCAAAAGCATCTCAATACTCTCCTAATATCACCTTCCTTATTTGGGCAATCAACTACCTATTAGCTGTTTTTCTTCTGTGCTTTGCAATGCAAAGATTTTTCTCCTTGGCATGAAAAAAAAACAAGCAAAAAAACAGCCCAACCAAACAACAACGACAACAACAATAAAAGAAACATTAAGAATGAAACAGTTCTTCCTTCTTCATCTCATTCACCTCAAGCAATGGTTCTGTCCCTTTTCTGATATCCATTAATATATGTGTGTGTGTGCGTGTGTGTGTGTGTTTGTATATATGTATATGTTATGTATATTTATACACACATATATGTACATATATACACACACATATATATACATACATGTATGAAAGACTGTTTTGTCATTAGCTTTTCCTATGAGTCATAGCTCATTGTGAACTTCTTTAGCATTCTTACTCTTATAATACCATACCATGCTTTTCTATTTTTGTCTTCTTTTATCTACCTTGCTTTAATCTTCTGTGCATGTCTTTCTAAAACCTAAATTGATTGGTGAGTTCCCTATGTACCCATATCAGTCTTTTCAGACAATCCCCTATTTTCCTCATGATTACCATTATTTTTCTGTCTTCAGAATTTAATTCATTAGTTTTACATCACTCCTGGGTTGGCTTTTCCCTGTATAATTATAGGCCATGGGATTCTACTGATCCATCTTCTGAACTCTTTAAAAATCTGTTCTACCAAAATCTGGGGTGCCCACTAGACAATGTCCAGCTTTCCTTTTCTTCTCTATCCCAAGCTCTAGAAAGGAATAGTCAAAGATCATTAAAATGAGTCAAGAAGTTATTAATTACTTTTAGATGAGAGAGCTTCAACAGCTGCTTAGATAAACTGGTCTCCCATTACTACTCTATCATTCTTTTGTGCCAGGTTTGGGATCCATTTTCTAAACTCTTCATCTATTTTCTCTCTGTCCAGGTTGCCTAGAGTATACCCTGATAATAGAATTGCTTCTGTTTCTTTCTCCATTGACCTTCAACTATATGTTCCCCAATGAGTACTCTGCTTCCTATATTTCCTCACATACTGAGTATACTTTCATAGTTTGCAATTTGATACCACCACCATATCATTTTCCTTGTTCAGTCATTTCAGCTGTGTTGAATTCTTCATGACCTTATTTGGGGTTTTCTTGGCAAAGATAAGAAATGGTTTGCCATTTCCTTCTCTAGTTCACTTTACAGATAAACTGGGGTAAATGACTTGCCTAAGGTCACACAGCCAGTAAGTGTCTGAGGTTGGATTTGAACTTAGGTCCACTTGACTCCAGGCTTGGTATTCTATCCACTGCACCACCTACCTGCCTCATGTATCATTTTTACTCAACTTGGTGTGTTTATGTACAGATATTTGAGGCCATGAGTGTGATTACTTGCCCCTTTATTGAATTTTGTGACCTGTGAACCTCTGGGTATCTCAGCTGCTATTCTTCCTATAACATAGCTACCCTCTGTAGTATCTAACTTGCTATATATCTGTACATGGTTTTTTCCTTCCTTTTTCTTCTTGAGTTTGAAGCTTTTCAAATTATGTTTGAAACAGATCAGGAAAATATATTCTTACCAGTCTCTGTTAGGTGATCTTCATCCTTAGAAGCATACAAGCAAGCTTGGACTCCTTGGATAAGAAGGGAAAATTTTTATAGATTTCAGGTTTCATCCACCTCCAGCAGCAGGAAACATCAAAAAGCAATATTAATCTCTGGCTCTGTTGACTCACAGGATCTTAAGATACTCAGTGCTATAAAGGACATTAACAGGACATTGAGTCCAACCTTCCCATCCTACAGAAGAGGAAATTGAGGTCCAGAAAGTTTAAGTGATGCCAAGGCCACAAAACTAGCATCTGAGGCAGGATTTGTATCCAGATCTTAGTGAATTCAAGTATATCATTATTTTCATGTTGTTTTCTCCATTAAAATGTGAGCCCCTTGAGGACAGTGTTTTTGCCTTTCTTTGTTTTTGCCTTCACTTCACACAGTTCCTGGGGCATAGTAAGCACTGAATAAATGCTCATTGACTGAATGACAGATTCCATAACACCCTGAGTCTGCTGCTGGGGAGGCCAATCCAGGGAGAGGAAGTGAACCATCTGGTAGCTTACTATTTTAACTAACTATTCTTGATAACTAGGTGTTAAGGGCAGTTGTTTCTTCACACTTAGCATCCAAGAAGACTGTCTATCTAGAGAGGAGGAGTGATAGCCCTGACAGCAAACAGATGCTTTGGGAAAGGAGGTTGAGAGGGGCTTGGAGGCAGTTCTGCCCAAACCTTCAAAGTACAGGATAAGTCTTACTCCATTTTTTATATAAAAAGTCAAATTTTATTCTTTAGGAAATTGGAATTTTATCTAAGTTCTTCCAATAAACATAACAGAATATATTCCTTCATTTTATAGAGGAGTAATATGAGACCCCATAAAGGGCAAGTAACTTGACCCAGGGTCCCAGATAAAGCCTTGTTTAACTCTCACTGAAATTGAAGCTGGGCTGAAATCTTGTCAAACAGAGCCCAGGTCTTGAAGACACAGACCTTTGGAGCCAGAAGAAACCTCAGAGTCCACATTGTCCAAACCCTTCATTTTACAGAAGAGAAAATGGAGGCTTAGAAGGCACTAGAACCCACGTCTCTTGACTGATCATAGGAGTTAAATGACTTGCCTACGACTACATAGCTATTATATGGTGGAGCTGGACTGGGACTCAGATTTTCTGACTCCATTGCTTTTCATTATGCCATCCTGATTCCCTCCTACCCTACTCTGGCTCCCCCCTCAGCTTTGAGGATGACTTGATATTCTGGCCTCCTTCTAGCCTATATTCTCCTTTCTTCTGTTCATCTGTCAAGCTGTTTCCAAAAGTAACTGCTACCTGCCCACTGCCCTGTCAACTCACTCAGATCAGGGAGGTGGTAGGAAGTGATATGGTGGTTAAAGCAAGGAAGTTGAGGGAGCAGAGAGAACAGGGTCTCAAAAACAACAGGCTAGAAATAAGTTACTTCCAGAAATCGAATGACAGTCCATCGGGTATAGGTATGGGGGATGGTGAGGGCGAGGGGTGGAGGCATGGTGGGGGGGAGGGAGGGGAATTGGAGAGAGACAGATTGGAACCTTTCCAATCTTTCCAAGGAAGGTGATGAATACTGTACAGCTAGAACCAAGAGGCAGAACAAAAGGGGTGGGGGTTTGGTCTACTTAACTACCTAGCTGACCTTGGCCAAGTCACTTACAGTTTGGGTGGAGCTTTGCCTTCATCCCTGGACTTTAGAGGGAGAAAACTGATGAGAGAGAGAAAGGAGAAGTTAGCTGGTGTTTTAAAACTATTTGAGCATATATTATAGCTGTAGCTTATATAGCATATAAAGCATATATGTGTATGTATGTGGGTACATACGTAACATACATGGAGAAAGAGACAGAGACAGAGATGTACATTTGTCAGGTTACATCTATAGCTATCTATGCACACATAATTAGCTCCCAAATGTTGGGTTTTCTTCCTCCTCACCTCTCCTCTTCTACCTCCTTTGTTACCTTTGATGCTTATTTTAATCTAACTTCAACAAGCTAAGCACATTGGGGCCAGAGTCCAGAAGGACAACGGTGCAATGTAATTGCTGCTGCTTGCACTAAGTTCCCTATGTACAGCTGTAACCTGAGGATTTCTGGATGACTGTCCGGAGTACACTATTGTCCCCAACTCAAAAAACAAGCAAAGTTTAATCAAGAAATCTATACATAAATTAAACTTAATCAATGTCTTCCGGGACCTTGCAATACACTTAAGAGAGACAAAGGCATTTCTAAAGGTTGGAGACAGTGATAAAATGTGTTAATTACAAATCATTCTTATCTATTCACTAATTTAGTCAGTTTTTTTTCAGTGGTGCGTGATTTTTCATGACCCCATTTGGGGTTTTCTTGGCAAAGATACTGGAGTGGTTTGCCATTTCCTTCTCTAGGTCATTTTATGAGGCAAACAGAATTAAGAGACTTGCTCAGGGTCACACAGCTAGTACTTACTAGTCTGAGGCTAGATTTGAACTCAGGAAGACATCTTCTTGACTTCAGGCCCAATATTCTATCTCCTGCACCACCTAGCTGCTCCTGTCTATTCACTAAAGTAGGTCCTAAAGGTCTTCTATTTGGACATGTTTGGTTAGCCCTATTATATATAAATTACTTATTTACTAGGGCTTACTATGTACATAGAACTGCACTTAAACCAATGTACAAGAAAGATGAAGGCTTCTTCCAAGGTTGTGAGCAGTAAAAGGTCAACCAACCTAGGGTTAGAACCCATCTGGCTAGTCTTGGCGTTTGGACCACCAGGTGGCACCAACTCCCAAATCTGGAAAGTGATCCTGCTCCACTACTGCCCCTCAGGCCAGGTCTGCATGGCTACCTGCAGGGCCAGAGCAGAGGAGATGAGAAGTTAGACTGAGTCCACCTTCACTAAGTGGAATGGCAGCTTAGGGAGGAAGGTGATGAGTGCTGCACAGCCAGAACCAAGAGCCAGAGCAGAAGGGACAGGAGTTTGTTCTACATAACTACCTATCTGACTTTGGCCAACTCACTTAGAGTTTAAAATTTAAAGGGACCCTAAAGGTCATCCTAAAACAAGCCTCTCCCATTGTCTGCCATTCTGAAGATGAGAAACCTGAGGCCCAAAGAGACGTGGCGGCACAGTGTTTTGTGGAAGAGCTCTTGATTCAGAGTCCAGATTAAGGTCTTCAGATCAGGAGACCTGGATTGGAACCCTAGCTGACACTTACTGGCTGAGTTACCTAGGGCAAGTCACCTACTCACTCTGAGCTACAATTTCATTGTTTATAAAAATGGGAATAACAATCATCCTGTCATCAAGTGCACAGGGTTGTTGTAGGGAAAGCACTTTTAAAACCTCAAAGCCCCCATATAAATATGAATTATTATTTTGTAGTCCATGACTCTGAACTGAAGTTTGGGGTTTACACAAACTTACACAGTTCATAAATAAATACTGCCTTCGGCTTGTCCCCACTCCCACCCCAAAGAGATTACTCTGGGAATCTTATGTTTGGTTTGTTTTATGCTTCATCCAAGGTAGTTTTCTAAGGGATGTTAGAATTTGACTTAAGTCTAGGTGTCTCCTGAAAACCTAAAGATTTCTCAAGCACTCTGGCTAACATAATTTTTTACATTATGTCAAAGATTTTATTTAACCCAATTTAACAAAAGGAAAACTGAAAAGACTCACAAATGAGTCCATAAACAATCAAAACAACTTTCCTTCCTTTTCTGGTGGACCCATATTTAATGTGGAGACTTGCATAGTCTTCCAGACTTAAAATATTAGGATCAAACAACCCTTCCTTCCCCCTGCCCTCTACTCCCACACCAAGAAAGGAAAGCAAACTGTCTTGCTAAAGAGTAAAGCAATCACGCAGTCAGTGAGATGTGATCCATCTCCCCAAAAGACCTAAACAGTTATCTTGACTTATAACACTCTCCTAGAGCAGTGGTATCAAGTTAAAATAGAAATGGCTCCACTAAACAGTATATAATGTTAGCATTATCTACATTCTGTTGTGTATTTATCTTGTTAAATACTTCTTAATTGTATTTTAATCTTATTTAGCTGAACTAGGCAAGCTGCTGGTGGGTTGTGTATTTGACACCTCTGCATAACAGCTGTGGCACCTCCTCTGAGGTAAAAGCAAATGAGGTTGCTAGATGATCAACCCCTTTTGCTCCTTGACCTACATAGTTCATATAGCTCTAGACTTACTATTTCCAAATCCTTTCCCCTACCCGCTTGATGATCTCCATCTCTCCCTTGGTTCAGAAAATGTGCATTGTCTGGGAACTCTTCCACCATTGTCTTCTCTCTGCCGTCAATATTCTCCCAGAGCTAGCAGCTTGGCCCACCAAAGTTGAAAGCCAGGTGGGCAGTTCCGATCCAGAATCCCTTTACTTCTCTGCCATGGACACTCCACTCTACATACTGGCTTTTCTACCTGTAGCTACTGGCTTGATGGAGGAACTCTTTACCCTCCCACCATTGTCTCTGCTGCTATATCTGAGTCAAGTGGTTCATCTTTTGTTGGGATTGCATGGATTCCCTCAAGCACATTGTTCCTTGGGGGACCATGGGATCAAGGGGCTATGCTGGCTTCTCTCCAGGGAACAAGAGTCCGTCTATGTCCATCCTGTCTTCACTCTGTCTCATTTCTAGTTTTTCTCCATCTCTCTGTCCCTTGCTCCCCAGCTCTCCTTTTAAAAGCCAAGTCCAAGGGCCTTTGCTATATGAACTGGCTGTGAATGAATGAATCAGTCAGCCACAAATGAACAAACAACAATCTTAAAGGGGCACCAAGGAGTACTGACAGCACCTTATTTAATTAAGGAGGCATCATAACAGCCAGAACAAAAGCCGCATAGCTGTTAATTTTGTTTATGAGTCTTGAAAAGGAGTTAATCTTGGCAACAGAATTTCAGTTACTACTTGTCAATGGAATACTCAGTTATAGCGGCAGTTAAAAAACTGGCCCAAGGTCACATGACTCTAAGTTTTAGAATCCCTGGTTTCCTTCAGAACTCATCTCAAACATCACCTCCTACATGAGTCCTTTCCTGATGCCCTGAGCAGCTGGTGTCACCTGTTCCCCACCTCATAAGCTGGTATTTATTTTTATGTATGTGTGTATTGTATATCTGCACATTCATATAGATGGTGTCTTCCTCTATATGATAATAATTTCATTGAAGGCAAAGATTGCTTCATTTTTTTGTCTCTATTCTCCATATCCAATAGCACTTGGCAGTTGTTAGGCATTTAATAAATGCTCATTGAGCTTGTTTGGACCTCAGTTTAAATAAGGGAATTGGGTGCTAAGGTCCTTCTAGCTTTAAATTCCATGACCAGGATTCAGGTTGATTTTAGGCTTCTGGCTAGATCACTAGGAAATCAGAAATTGGATAAGGCAGCACAGGAAGGGACAAGAAGGAGGCTCTTTTAAGCAAAGGAAGCAGGGAGCAACAATGGTCTGCTACCACCTTGGAGATTCTGCACCACAGGAGAGCTCACCTGATGGCCCAGCTTTGTGGGGGGCGGGTCTGTCACCTTAGCAGGCCTATGCACCTGCTGCTAACTCTTAGTGAGGGGGTGCACCTTCTCCAAGGCTTGGGCTCCCTGACTGCTTGGTAGGAGGGACTGTGATCAGGGCTTTTCAGAGGAGGCTGCTGACAACAATCAAGTCCTGATTCCTTTGTGAGAATGTGATTGAACAATTCCCCAGCTCAGCTGTGTGGGGGAGGCAGTAAGCGGGAAGTCAAGAGCTCAGCCCAGCCATTTGCAGAGGAATAGTACAGCCTCATTACCTCAACTCCCTCCAGTGTTCTGTTTTTTTCTTTTCTTTATTTTTCCTTTCTTTTCTTTTTCTTTCCTTTCCTTTTCTTGGTCTATCTTGTAACTCTTTATGAGCCTAAAAGAAGACAAAGCCGGGCTTGGTGGGTTCAGTGTTCAGGGATGAGGCCCCATACTTATTAATTAAACACCTGCTGCGTGTCAGACATTGTACTAGGTTTGGGGATGAAAAGACAAAAATATTTTTAAATGAATTTATCATTCTATTGGAAAAGGCAAATTTAAATGTGTATTAAAAATATACAAGATATGTGCAAAATAGCAGTTTTGGAAGAGAAGGTTCCCTCAGGGTGGAGGGAGGGGTGGGGTTCCAGAAAAGGATCATACATTTAGAGGTGTATTTAAGGCAATAAGCAACTTGAGCTGTTGTAGTTTTTTGAACACGAGTCATATGATAAAAGCTATGTTTTAGGAAGATTACTGTGGCAGTTAGGTGAAGGTTCTTCGAAAGGAGCCCACCTGGCCAAGTATGAGGGGAGGGAGGCTAAACTGGCTGATCTTTTGAATTCAAGCATCCTGAGCTGCAATCAGAAGGAACCATTTTCAGAGCCAGGGGTGCTAACAGGAGAACTGCCCATTTGCAGTGCCTTGTATTTGGGTTTCAATAACTGAACCCCCAGTTTCTACCAAAGTCCCCCACTCCCCATTGTCAGTAACCTTCAGCCCTGGCCCTCTGACTCTTCCTGCCAGCGAATCCCTAAACTGTCTCTCTATGCCCAATGCTCTTCCACAGTGAACAAAATGCATCTCCACATCTCCCTGGAAGCTATGGAACATGGAGGAGGAAGAGTAGAAAAAGAAAAGGGAGAACTTTGTGGCCCTGAATTATCAAGCTCACCAAACCCCCCACTTCCTCCAGGCCTCTTCCTCCTCGCACTGGGTTTGGCCTCCCTGAAATATTACCAGAGGCAAACTTTGTACCAGTGAAGTCACTGGAAACCTGTGGTTTGCATACTATTTGCACAGGCTGTCTCTAGAATTGTCAAAGATGAAAAAGAGCTATTTCATTAGAACTGATTTTTCCCATTCATTGATGAAAGAGTCCCAGAGGAACTCTATAGTATATACAAGAATGGAAGAAAGGTGAGGGGGAGGCCATGGAGAGGAATTCTAGTTAAGTCATTGGGCCTGATGACTAAAGATTTGCCCACAGAGTGGTCTCTGTGCTAGGACAAAACCAAGCTCCATATGCTTCTCTTTAGTTTTTTCAACAAGAACAATAACAACATCCCTAAATAAAGATACCCTAAGCTGAGTCAAATTCGAAGTACCTAAAGCATGGAGGGAATTAATCAGCAAATATTTATTGAGCACCTGTCCCCTAAGCCTGGAATGCTTTCCCTCCTCTGCTCCAACTATGGACCTCCCTGGCTCCTTTAAGTCCCAACTGAGACCTCACCTTCTACAAAAACCTTACCTTCTCTAATGCCTTCCTTCCATTAATTGTTTCCTACTTATCTTGTATTTACTTGCTTACATATTCCCTTTTTTGTTTTAGGTAATTAGACAGATAGCTTAGGGAAATGTTCTAAATGTTGTATAACTGGATTGTAGCAAGACATTCAACACAGTCTTCTGTGATGTTTTTGTGGACTAGATGGAGAGATGTGGGCTTGGTCATTGTACAGTTAGGTAGATCCAGACCTGATTGAATGACTGAGCATTTATTTCAATAAGCATTTATTTAGCACCTGGGGTGTAGAGAGTGTTCAAGGAGGACTAACACCTCTGGTCTGAGGCCTTGCCGAGCCTTTTTCAGGGCTGCTCATCCACCTTTGGTGTCCACCTTTCATCCAACTCTCACCTGTGCCTCCAAGAAGCTGTAGCATTTGCAATGGCCACACCCTGGTAAAACCATCTAGCAAATAGGCTAAACCAGATTGAGGGTAAACAAGTCTAACCCATTGGTGAGTTAGGGTAGTGTCCACCCCAAGCATGTGAAAATTTCCCCAGGTAAAATGGGTAGATGAGAACAACAGCCATGAAGGAGGCTGAAGCAGGCACTGAGGAACACTTAGAGCTTGGTCAGACATCAAAGACGCCAAGGTCATCCAAGGCATCTCGAGCCATCTCAGTCATCTTGACTTTTCTCTGGCCACTGGACTTGGATGACTCTGGAAGAGAGAATGAGAATTGACTTTGTGCAATTCTGCTTACTTAAATTCAATACGTGTGGGAGTTACAACTTCACCCTTGTGACATCATTGATACAACAACATCATTAACACCTCCTCTATGTCAGTCACTGTGCTAAGGGCTGGGGATACAAAGAGGCAAAAGATAGCCCCTGCCCTCAAGGCTCCCACAATCTAATGGGGGAGACAAGAAGCTATAAACAAGCTATATACAGGATAAGCTTTAAGATTCTGTAATTCTGTGAAAATACAAGGCTTTATCTATCAAAGGCCACCTAAGAGACACAGACAAGGGAAGGAGGAGAAAGGAAAGTGAAGGAATCCTTCGAAGGGGGCAGGGTTTGAGTTGGATCATGAAGGATGCATAAGATTTGAATAAAAAGAGGAAGAACAGTGTGAGGCATATTTATCATATTATATATATAATATATATTTATTATAATAGCTAGCATTTATGTAGCCACTCTTATGTGCCAGGCACCATGCTAAACACTTTAAAAACATTATCTGGTTTGATCCTCACAACACCCCTGGGAGATAGGTGCTATTATTATCCCCATCTTACAGATTAGGAAACTGAGACAAACAAAAGTTGTAACTTGCCCAAGATCACACAGCTAGTAAGTGTCTGAGGCTGGATTTTAACCTAGTGACCGCAGGCCTAGCACCTCATCCACTGCTGCACCTAGCTGCCTAGGGGAGAACTGAGTTGATATTCTGGAGATCAATTCAGAACTATGCCCAAAGGACTATAAAACTGTGCATACCCTTTGATCCAGCAATACCATTACTAGATCTGTATCCCAAAGAGATCATAAAAAAGGGAAAAGAACCCATATGTACAAAAATATTTATAGCAGCTCTTTTTGTGATGACAAAGAATCAGAAATTGAGGGGATGCCCATCAATTGGGGAATGGCTAAACAAGTTGTGGTATATGAATGTAGTGGAATACTGTTGTGCTATAAGAAATGATGAGCAGGCAGACTTCAGAAAAACCTGGAAAGACCTGAAATGGACTGATGCTGAGTGAAGTGAGCAGAACCAGGAGAACATTGTACATACTAACAGCCACATTGTGTGATGACTAACTTTGATGGACTTAGCTCTTCTCAGCAAACGACAATCCAAGACGATTCCAAAAGACTTGGGGAAAATGCTATCCCCATCCAGAGAAAGAACTATGGGGTCTGAATGCATACCACAGCACACTATTTTCACTTTTTTTGTTGTTTTTTATTTTTTCTTTCTCATGTTTTTTCTCTTTGGTTCTGATTCTTTTTTCACAACATAATTAATGTGGAAATATGTTTAACATGATTATACATGTAAAACCTATATCAGATTGCTTGCTGTCTTGGTGAGGGCAGAGGGAAGGAAGGGAGAAGAATTTGGAACTCAAAATCTTACAAAAATGAATGTTAAAAACTATCTTTATGTGTAATTGGAAAAAAAAACATTAAATGCAAAAAAAAAAGTGAGTTGAGCTGAAAAGTTCATGGATGGTCTGGCTTGAATCCAGTACCGTATAAGGGATAAGGATGTGGAGGATGTGGAGAAGATGTACTCATCTATCTCTTGGCTCTGGGTGGAGTTTAGGATTTGGAGGTGAGTGGGATTGCTATGTTTTTAACAGTGTAGCTGATCCTAGACCTAATAAACTGAATTACCACTGGCCTAGTACCTAGTACCACTGAGACTCTATCAGCCTCCCCTTCTCCCTTTCCCCTTCTCCCCTCCCCCATCCCAGCAGATTGGAAAGAGAAACAATTGTAGCCAATTCTCCTGACATGTCCCCAAATGCCATTAACTTCAATGGAG